GGGGGGGGGTGTGGGGGGTGGGAGCAGGGCGCATGCGCGGCAGCCTGGGAGCAGCCCAGGGAGATGCGCCAGGATCGGCCTCGCCGAAGCGGAAGGAGCTAGTACAGAGTCTCTCGGGCGTGGGTTCTCAGGTGGCGCAGCAGGTGGGAGTTGCGGCTGAAGCTGCGGCCGCACTGTGCGCACGAGTAGGGCCGGGCCCCGGTGTGCACCAGCATGTGCCGCAGCAGGTTGCAGCTGCGGCTGAAGACCTTGCCACACTCCGGGCACTCCTGGGGGGGCTCCGCCGGCCCAGATGCGGCCTCATCCCCCGCCCCGGCGTGGGTGGCCAGGTGCCGCTGCAGGTGGGCGTTGCGCCGGAAGCTCCGGCCGCACTGCTCACAGCTGTAGGGCCGCTCGCCCGTGTGGCTCCGGCGGTGGCGGGCCAGGTTGGAGCTGTTTCGGAAGCGGTGCCCGCAGGTGTCGCAGACGTGGGGTTTCTCCCCGGTGTGGATGCGCTGGTGGCGGGCCAGGTGGGCGCTCTGGCTGAAGCGCTCGCCGCACTCACTGCAGCGGCAGGGCTTCTCGCCGGTGTGGCTGCGCCGGTGGCGAGCGAGGTCCTGGGTCTGGCTGAAGCTCTTGCCACACTGAGCACAGTGGTGGGGCCTCGGGCCGCCGTGCGTCAGGAGGTGGCGGGCGAGGCCGGCGCGCCGCATGAAGCGCTTTCCGCAGTGCGGGCATCCGTAGGGCTTCTCGCCTGTGTGCACCCGCTGGTGACAGACCAGCTGGGAGCTCTGACTGAAGCTGCGGCCGCACACCTGGCAAGAGAAGGGCCGCTCGCCTGTGTGCACGCGCCAGTGGGCCCCCAGGTGCTCGCTGCGCCGGAAAGCCTTGCCGCACTCGCTGCACACATAGGGCCGGCGCTCGGGCCCGGGGCGCAGGCTGCCCGAGCACTCGGAGCACTGGTGGCCGTTGTCCTTGGCGTGGATCCGCAGGTGGCGCTTGAGGCTGGAGCGGCGCTGGAAGGTCTGGCCGCAGTGGGAGCACAGGACCACGGTCAGCTCAGGGGGTGCCGGGGGCTTGGTCTCCGGGGTGCCGCTGGGGGGCTTCTGGTTCTGGGAGTGCGCCAGCAGGTGCTGCGTGAGGCGCGCGCGGCGCTGGAAGCCCTGGCCACACTCGGCGCACAGGAAGGCGGGCTCGGAGGAATGCGTCTGCAGGTGTTTGTTCAGGTGGGAGCTCTGGCGGAAGCGGTGGCCGCACAAGTGGCAGGTGTGCGGCCGCTCGTCTGTGTGCGTGCGCATGTGCAGCTTGAGGATGGAGCTGCGGCCGAAGCCCTTCCCGCAGCACAGGCACAAGAAGGACCGCGCGCCCGGGTGCGAATGCACCTGGTGCGCCTCCAGGCGGGCCAACTGCGGGAAGCTGACGCCACAGTCTGTGCAGATGAACTTGACCTCCGGCTCCGACTTGGGGACGCCTTCGGCTGCTTTGACCTTGAGAACGTCACTCCTGCCGGGAGGGGACATTTCTCCTCCGGGGCCGCTCGTCTCAGGGCCAGACCCTAGCGACTGGGCGTGGGGCTCTTCTGCCACCCCGGGGCTCTCTGCCTGAGCGTTTGCTGAGGCGGTCGAGGGCCAGGACACCCCTTTCGGCTCTTCTGCCTTAAACGCCTCTTCTAGGGTTCTGCCTCCAGTTCCTAAAAAAAGAAACAGAAAACAGGACAGGTCAGGCGTTCTCAGAGGGCCTTCTGGGTATCTCCAGAACCTCAATGCCGGGAAGTGCAAAGAAACCCATAATTCTGCAAAGTTTGTAGGTGGGCAGAGGGTGGGTAAAAAACCAAATAACATATAGTTTACCAGTTGTAAGGTGTATAATTCTGGCCCATTAGGCCTGTTTATAATGTCAGGCAACCACACCACTATGTCATTCTCCCAAACGGAGACCCATATCGGTTAGCAAGCCTTCACATGACCACTGATTTTATTTAATTAATTAAAATATTTATTTATGTATTTGGCTGTGCTGGGTCTTAATTGCGACACACAGAATCTTCATTGCAGCACATGAACTCTTATTAATAGTTGCCACCTTGTGGGATCTAGTTCCCTGACCCAGGCCCTCTGTATTGGGAGTGCAGAGTCTTAGCCAGTAGACCACCAGAGAAGTCCCTTATTTTATTTAACTTTAGCTGTTGTAATTAATTTTATTGAAGTATAGTTGATTTACAATTTTGTGTTAATTTCTGTTGTACAGCAAACTCGTTCAATTATATATATATATTCTTTTCTCTTCTGTTTTATTACAGGAGATCCAGTAGGACATTGCTGTTTCTCCATTCTATTAATATATGTAATAATTTGTATCTGCTAATCCCAAACTTGCAATCTACTCCTCCCTCCCCCTTGGCAACCACGAGACTGTTCTCTCTCTCTGTGTATTTCATAGATCAGTTGATATGTGTCATGGTTTAGATTCCACATATAAGTAATACCATATAGCATTTGCCATGACCACCTTTCTTTTTCTTGGCCGTGTCAAATAGCTTGTGGGATCTTAGTTCCTTGACAAGGAATTGAAGCAGGGCCCATGGCAATGAAAGCCTGGAGTCCAAACCACTGGACCACCAGGGAATTCCTGACCACTTATTTTAAAAGCTCAGAGTTGGCGGGGGGGGTTGATGCTTAGATGCAAAGAGCCTTAAAATTATATCTATATAGATACGGACATAACAATATAGGTCTATATCAATATATATCACCTTATCAAAATAGCTCATTTTTAGCCAAAGAGGCCAAAAAGTCAGGGGCCACCTTGGACATACAAAAAAGCCTTCAGTGGTCATAAACCCAGGAAAAAGCTGTCTCACCCAGAGGATGCACAGGCCAAGCCTTCTTTGCTGGGACGTCTTCAAAGGTCAGGGACTCCTGTGACAAAGGGATAGCAGAGATAGTCAGTGAGTGAGGAACGGGGCTCAGGGACCTAAGAGAGATGAAGAGCTCTCCAGGTTTAAATTAAGGAAGACAGAGGTGTGCTGAAACCACGGAGTTGGAGAACGTTCCAGGGCATGAGATAGACTAGAGTGAGGGGACCCACCCAGCTCACCAGCACTGCTGCCAACTCCTGGTCTCCCAAGTTCTCCTCTGGCCACAGCTCAGGGCCTTGGAGGGCTGACGGCAGTGAGGGAGAGAGAGAGAGAGCTGTGAGAAGGCAGTTCTACCGCCACGTGGCCTCAGGGTTGCGCACCCGTGGCCAGGGCCCTGGGACGCTCCTCCACTCCCATCAGCTAGGGAGGCCGCCCCCTTTCCCTCCCTGCCCCCAGCCACCTGGCCCCGCAGCTGCCCCCGCACCCCAGGCCTCCATCTCCCTAGGGCCCCGGCTCCTCACCGCTCTCTTGCAGGGCCTGCAAACTCCTCTTGGGACCTGGGCTCAGTGGCTGCCTTGAACTCAGGGAACGTCTCCAGTCCCCCATCTCAGCAGGCTTGGAGGGCCCCGACTGGGACGGTGGGAGTACCTGCGATGGCTCCAGGGCTGGAAGCCCTTCTGAGGGCTCTTCCTTCTTGGGACTGTGGCTGGAGACTTGGAAAGAGCCCCCCTGTTCCTCCAAGGTGATGTCTGCATGGGGACAATTCTTGCCAGCATTAAAACTGAAATCCTGTTCAGAACACACCATGTCAGGGCACAGACAGGACAGTAATCCACGTCCTACTAACTCCCAAAGGCAGTGGCACAGTGTAAAGGTGACGGTCAGACAGAGAGGGAGGGAGTTAGGAGGTCAACAAGGAACTGGCAGAGGAAGACAAGTGGGACCTTGGTCCCCCAACCAGGGATCGAACTCCCTGCTGTGGAAGCACAGAGTCTTAACCACTGGACCACCAGCAAAGTCTCAGCTCAGTGATTTCTTAACAGGGCGATAAAGTCCCTGCCTTTCCCGCTGCTGTCCAGCCCACCAGGCAGCCCCTCTTACCAGCGGCCCCACGTTGCTAGACTCCCTCCGGACACCCTCTAGCAGCAGTACCACCTCTTCACCATCCCTGAGCTGCTGGCCCTGCAGCCGGGCCAGGAGGTGTGGGGGCAGCACGCTCAGGAACTGCTCGAGCACCAGCAGCTCCAGGATCTGCTTCTTGGTGTGGAGAGCCGGCCGCAGCCAGTGGTTACAGAGCTCCCGGAGCCGGCTCAGGGACGCCCTTGGCCCCATGTCCTCCTGGTACTGGAAGCACCTGAAGAGCTGATGAGCCACCTCGGGCCGGGGCCTGGCCGCTGGCTGCCCGGGGTCCTCCTGGATGGCAGCCTCCTCCTCTTCTTCCAGCTTGACTGCTCCGAGCTGCTCCGGCTCCCCCGCAGCTGGGCCGGGTTCTGCAAGCATCCTTCACCTTGGGGACTCCTCACCACGGTGGCTCTCGTGTTCAAGTCTCTCCCTCCCAGCTCCCACACCCAGGGTGTTAAGGGGTGCCTGCAGGTGTGGTCTCCAGAGGAATTTCTTCTTGAACGGGTCACAGGTAGTGCCTCAGCCTGACCAAACAAGGCAGAAAAATCGAATTGCTCAGTACTATCCATTCCTTCCTGAAGCACTTAGAACTTTACCTCGGTTTGCCCCAGGGACCAAAGTTGGCAACCCCGAAACAGGACAGTCTGGCTGTCCCTGCCTCTTGATATGGTGCCGCAGGGAGTACCTGGCACCACTGAAGAGGGAGTCTTTGCCAAAAATGTTCCATCACAATCCAATCCAGCCTTTAGACCCAACTTCCGGTTAAAGGGCATTGCAGGGAATAAGAACAAGTTGGCGGAAAGGCTAAGTGGGATAGTGTTCAAAGGTACAAACTTGGGGAGGGAGGAGGAGAAAAAAATTAATAAATAAATAAAGGTACAAACTTGTAACATGTAGTAAATAAGCCATAGCGATCTAATGCACAGTATAGTGAGAGGGTAACAGGCAGGAAGGCCAGGGGTCTCCAAACAGAGGAAATAGGCTGCAAATGTCAGACATTTTTATCTTTCTTAAGCGGCAGCTGGAAACAAACTGACGATATTTTTTTTTTCCTTCTCTATACAAATTTAAAAGGAGGTTCCTCTTAAAATGCTCTGTTGCCATCACACCTGGTTTCACCTGAAGCTAACTATTCTCAAACTTATTTGAGAGCTATTATTATTGGATCTCATCTCTGGCCCCGGATTAAATTCGTCTCCTCCGGAGGCCAAAAATCCCGGCATCTTATCGTTCAGCAACAACCTTTCGATAGCAAACACAGATAATAATGTTGTACTGTAATACATTATGTAATATGACACACATTGCTACATCACAGTCATTATAATATATAAATGAAATGCTGTTTAAAGTTATTCAATGTTACATGTCACATTTATAAAACAGGGTCTTCCCTGGTCTAGGAACTAAGAGCCCACAGGCCACACAGCAACTAAGTATCCCGGCTCCACAGCTAGACAGAAGCTCGCGCTCAGCAACTACTGAGCCCATGTGCCGCTACTAAGACCCAACACAGCCAAAAATAAATAAATAAAATATTTTAAAAACAATTATAAAACAAACAAGTCAAATGATCCATTGAGTAAATGACCAAACAAGTCCGAAAGACCGGACATGGCCAGAAACAACTGGTCCAAGTTTTTCTAAGTCTGTTATAAAAAAATAAGTGCCTGTAGGCACATCGCTGTAGAGAAGACTAACAGCTGATGTAAGGAAATGTGTGAATCTTGACTGGATCCTGACCTTTAAGAAAGGGGGTGGTGGTGCTAAAAGTTATTCTGGGGAAATAGTTGGGGAAGTTTGAATCTGGTGGAGCCCTGGGGGACAAGGGAAATGACTAGCAACTTTTGAGATGGGATTCCAGCCTTGCGCTATGTTGGAAGTGTCTTCATTCTTAGAAATTGTTAAGAATTTGGAAGTGAAGAGGCATGAGGTTTCAGCCACACTTATGGATCAACAAGGCAAAAGTGGCAAAATTATAGCAATTGTCGAATCCGGGAGGTGGGTGTATGGATGTTCATTGCATTGCTCTTTCAACTTCTCTGGAAGTTTGAGAATTTTAAAGATAAAAGGGTGAGCAGTGGGTGTAGTTCATATATATGATCACTCCTTAACCAGATGTCCCGATTCTCACTTTCTGGTGCTGGAGGTGGCTCTCAGTGGTCAAGGCCAAGGTCACCCAGCTGACCAGGGCAGGGCTGAGCTCCCACCTAGTGTCCCAGTCTCCTTCCCTGGGTTCCATCCTAGGAGACAGGCCAGGATGAGCCAGGGAGATGGGGTTGGTGGGTGGGTTTCCACATGAGAGACTAAGCTGACTGCCCGCAGAGGTTTGTGACACATGTGTCCCCAAGGCAGGCCAAAGCAGAGAGGCATCCAGTGGGTGCAGCCTGTGGAGCTGGGTGATAAGTGGGAGGCGCAGACGTTTCCCTTTCTTCCCTAGTTTTTTTTTTTTTTTTAAATCCTGGGTTCTTCCTTTGTCCACTGGGAAGTATCCATCACAATACCTCTGTGAGTCTAGCTAACAAAAAAAAAGTGCTTCTAACTTGGCAACAGCAGGCACTGGTTCTGTAAGACTCTTCCTTCCTTTGGGGCTAGTGGAGACCTACCTAGGGGGAGCTGACCCAAGTTCAGCCCCACCCCCAGAGGACTCAGTTCAGTCCTTCAGCACTACGCATCCAGGAGGCTTACACTTCCAAACAAGCTTGTTCTTTTGTTCCAGAGCTTTGAGGCATTTTTATTTTATGTTTTGGCTCAGCCACATGGCTTGCAGGAACCTAGTTTCCTGACCAGGGATTGAACCTGCGCCCTTGGCAGTGAAAACGTGGAATCCTAAGTCACTGGACCACCCTGGAACTCCTGAGTCACTTTTATATTTCAATCCAGGCAGGGATTACTTTATGGATATGGAAACCCAAGTTCCAACATCTCTGTGCCCTCCCTGTTTTCCAGCCTCAGGGCTGCGAAAGAACCTTTTCCCGTTCCCCTACCCTCACATGAACATCCAAGGCAGAGAGTTGGGCAGAAGCCCTCCTGCATCACTTCCCACCAGGTAAAGGAAGCAGAGTGGTGCCCCCACCTGCAGACAGTACACGCTGGGCACACGTCTAGGTGCTGGCTGTTTTTACTATTGAGTAAAAACACAAACAACCATGGCTAACAGCTCATCCTATCATGACCATGTTACAGCCCAGGACACCTGGACACAGATGTACAGACATTCTTTCAAGAAGGCAACCCAGCCTTGGTGACGGAGACAGAGAGAGGTCGGCCTGGCCAAGAGCTTTGATAGTTTAAGCCTTCTTCTCATCCTATCATGACCATGTTACAGCCCAGGACACCTGGACAGAGACGTACAGACATTCTTTCAAGAAGGCAACCCAGCCTTGGTGACGGAGACAGAGAGAGGTCGGCCTGGCCAAGAGCTTTGATAGTTTAAGCCTTCTTCATTAGGGGCTGAGGGATCTCTGAACCTCCTTTTCTGGTGGGATGAGTCGGGGCTGAATGTGGTTAAAGAGCACAGGAAACTAAGCCTAGCACTTCCCAGCTCAGAGGAGAGGGTCATGATGCTAAAGCACAGACCCAGGCCTGTGTCCTGGCCACCTGACCAGCCCCCAAGCCTCAGCCTCCCTCCACCCCCTCCAGCATCTTCCCAGCTTCCCTTCCTCTCCCTCATCTTACCCACTCCTTCCTGCCACTCTCCAGGCTCCCTCAACCACTCCAGAATCTCCCAGCTTTCCCCACTTCCATCCTCTCCCCCAGAGCCTTGTTCAACCTCCGTTCTTTCCTGCACGTTGGCACACAGGTTCCTTCCACTCACTGACACCTCTCTTCTGGGATGCCACATATACCGCCCACCTATCTACCTTGCAGTTGTAATTATTAGGAAGGCATGCAAACATGTCTGAGGCAGAAGAGGTCTTTACCTTTCAAGAAAATGGGTTTTTGTTTTCTTATGTTTTGGTAGCGTGAGCAAAAAAGTGGTACAGAACCTGTCACATGTGATCAGGAACGCAGTATTAACAGATGGCGTGTACCGAAAGCTTCTCCGCATGGGTTCTCTGCTTAGGGTCGCTTCATCTCACTCCATCCCAAGTGGTAAACTATAATTTCTCCATTTGACAGGTGCAAAGACCACACTCCGGGAGGATGGGTGACTTGCTCAAGGTCACACCAGGGAAAGCGAAGATTTGCTTTAAGAAGAGAACACTGATCTTACGGTGCAAAAGCTTAGAAACAGAAAAGGACCAAATTCCCCTCCTGTCGTGTGCAATCTGCCTAGCCTTAATCAGAATATTACAGCACAAATCTGAAAAACTAAGGGCATTCAAATTTCCAACTCTCAGGGCTAAACTCAAGGGATGCCACAAGCTTCAGGTGAGGTCTCACCAAAAGGTTTGAAAGAGATGGAATTCCAGGGACTTTGGCCTGAAGAGTCTCTCCCGCCCCCAAGTCTGCAGGACAAAAGCTCTGTGAATATGCGCATCTGTGGGGGGTGAGCTGGGTTGCTGGAGGCTGGGTGTGGGGCTCTTCAGCCATCCTCCGGTATCTGACCAACTTAACTTGGAGCCTAGAGTGGCGAAGAGGCTTAAGGTAGACCAACTCGGGTGGAGGTGCAGTCACAAGACCCACCCAGACAATGGGGGTGCCCAGAGCCGGGGTCCTTGGCCAGCAACTTTCCCTTGCTCCCTGGATCGCTCGTCTTTATTGACTGCGCTCCCCTCTAGTGCTGAGCTGAGCTGAGTCAAGGAGCCCGGTCAGTCCACCTGAGGGAACGTGGAGCGTGCCTTCCGCTCCCCAGAAGGCATAGCAAGCCCACGTCACAGGAAGTCCTGCGACCCTCCGAAATGCCCCCACTGACACAGGCCACCCGGTCTTCCCAGCCCTGGACTCCCCAGCACTGGGCTCCCCAGCACAGACCAACCACATCCTCCCAAGACTCTTCCAGCACTCTAATGTCTCACCCCACCACCCCTCCAGAGGCCTGGAGCCCTCTTTCTTTCTCCAAGCTACAAGGAACCCGTTAAATCTGTCCTTGGCAGCTTGCACCCCAGGCCTCTCTGCAACTCACCACTCGTGGGGGTGTTCTCTGTGGGCCCCTAGGGCCAGAGTCAGCCTCGGCCAACCTGGAGAAGGACTCCGGGAAAATGGAACAGGAAGTTCCCTGCCCCAATCCCATCCAGGTGGTGAGGGGGGCTTCCTTGAGTTAACCCTTAACCTCCCAGTTTGGGAGCGGGGTGGGGAAAGGGCGGGGCCAGGGAAATAGACAAAGCAACCAGTTAGGATTCCAGCCCTGGCCTGCATTTGAGAGTCTAACTACCCCCCCAAGTAACGGCTGAACCCCACTAGTCAGGACTGGCTCTGTGCCCCTTGAGGGTCTGTCAGCCTGTATGTTTGGTGGGGGACAAGAGCTGCCATTTAAAAATGCTTGCTGGGGTTTCCGTGGCAGTCCAGTGGTTAAGACCATGTGCTTCCACTGCAGGTGGAGCAGGTTCAAGCCTTAGTCTGGGAGGTTCCCCTTATCTCCAGGTATGGCCAGGAAAAAAAGCCTGCTGTGTGCGTGGTTCTTTGGTCGGCATTTCATTCATGCAGCAAATATTTGCCAAAGGCCTGCTGTGGGTGTTGAGGATACTGAGCTAAATGTGAGGGACAGTTCCAGATTTCAGGGGATTTACGTGCCAGGGCACAGGAGCAAACCACAGGTACTAAGAAGAAAACAGAGCAGGACCATGTATTGGGGAAGAGAGGTCACAGGTGGATATTGCCACCTAAAACTCTCCCAAGAATCTTTAGGGTTGGCTTCTGTCCCCTCTTTATCAGTGACTAAGTGGGGCTCCCAGGAGCGCAAGTGGCCTCACCAACAGCCTTGAGTCCAACTCCAAAGTCAAGCCTTTCCCTTTGCTCTAGAGGGCCTTTTCCTTGGCGGGTCACGTCCTTGGCCCCAGCGGGACGGGCGCCCCCCTCTGGGGAGTCCGCGGTGTCCGGCTGGGCGTTCAGGGCGCCTCCTGTTTTGGGGGTGCTGGGCCACGTTCTCAGTGGCCGACGCTGCGCTCGCTCTGGTTCCCCGGGTCGGGTCTAGTCTCTTGCACTTGCCAGCACCTGGACTTCGTTCCTTTAACTGTCTAGTGTGGATCTCACAGGACGGCGGGCGGTATCCCTTCTCTGCTCCGCGCCTAGCGCCTGGCACATGTGAGGATGGACGGAATGCCTGAGGAACGGCCGGGCAGAGCCCCCGGTCCTGCTATGTTTACTGGCACCGCGCACCTGGCGCCCCGCGAGGCTAACTCCTCGCCCTCGCGGGTGGGCGGGGCCGGGAACCTCACCCGGGGCGGGACTATGAAAACCCACCCCGGAC